ATTATTAATTAATTATGTATTAAAAATAATTAATTTTAAATTTATTTAAACAATCAAAAAAATAATTTTTTAATTAAAAATAATTAAAAGAATAACAATTAAAATAAAGTTAACTAAAACATGAAGTACGTTTGGAAATTGGGGGTTAGAAAATAGATCATTGGCTTCAAGGCATACTATAAATGCCACTTTCCTTTAAGTTAATTTTGCCCTCACCAAATCTAGTATGCAAAAGGGGTAAACCGAAATGCCCATAATATACAATGAAGTGCCTTGTTGATCTTGCCTTTGCACTAGTAAGATCAACCATTAAACTGTCCTTTAGAAAGTGACAAAACAATAATTTTTGTATAATGATTTTTGCAGCTATCGCAATACAAAAAGGGGCTATTTTATTTAGATAATAGTAGGGATTTGTTTCTATATTTAAGAGACTAAAAGAAGAAGAGATAACTCCATATTTATAGCGACAAGATGTCTGTTGGGAATAGGCACTCCTTTTCAAGTTATTAATTGAAAATATTTGAATTTTCATTAAATTTATCCATTGGAAACTCTTCCAAAAGTTATTTGATTTTATTTGATTTTATTTGAATTCCAACTCATGTGTTTTCTTGCCTTCCAAAGTTATCCACTATTCCTTGAGAAATTTATCAAAATTCTATCTTTTATTTCTGACATAAATGGTTTGAAACATTAAATGTGGTTCGAACCAAAATCGTACTTTTTGAATTCTAATTTTACATAAACAATTCAAATCGTATTTATATGATTCAAATAAAAAACATACTTTGTGAAATGCATTCTATGCAATTACTTCGAACCAACTTTTTGCGATTTGAACCCAAATCCTAGAACTATTTTGAAAATTCTTCAACATTCCCCCATTTTCAAAATAAAATAGCCCACTAATTGTTTTGGAAATCTTATGCATATATACATGAAGGTATCTTATGATTTGAACCTTTCACTTAGTGAACATGTGTTGGCAAGTTACTCGAAATTGAATGGTGGGCCAATTCTTTGAACCAACGATTCTAAGTGACTAATTGGGCACATGTCACACACAAAACATTCCCCCATTTTCAAAATAAAACAGCCCACTAATTGTTTTGGAAATCTTATGCATACATGAAGGTATCTTATGATTTGAACCTTTCACTTAGTAAACATGTGTTGGCAAGTTACTCGAAATTGAATGGTGGGCCAATTCTTTGAACCAACGATTCTAAGTGACTAATTGGGCACATGTCACACACAAGACTTCAAGCTTTCAAAAGAAAAATTCAACGTCGCCAACACAAAAATTGGTTATGTGTCCTGTATCCATTTCATGAATGTTGTTAGAGTCAAGCCCCCAACTCTTAGAAGTGGCACCACTTCCCCTCACAAAGGTAGATCCCATCAAAAGTGCCACCACATTATGTACTTTAACAGAAATCTATTATAGGACCTATTAAGAGTAAAACTCAACCTCCTCTTTATTTCATATGGTTACCAAGTACTCTTCCACTTGGGATGATATTATTTATAAATTGAGTACTTACAATCACATTCATATGATGTACTTTTCTCATTGAACTTAAGAATTGATGTTTTATCAAGCGTTAAGTCAGGGTTCCATCATGTGTGACTTTTGTCAATATGGACTTGAGAACCATCCCTCTCTTTGTCTTGTAAATTTTCCTTTTGATAATCCTTTTAATCAAGGATCTATGAAGTTAATTCACACAAGACATTGCAAAGATTATGGTGATCACCTCATTTAAGAATTGACTGTTTCCATGTGTACATTTTATGACAACAAGTCTACTGTCATATAGACTTCTTTATAAGCACTTGATGACATCCTATTATTTTTAGTCATCATACACATTCATATAAGAATGTCTTAGATTGATATGAACTCTTGAAATGTGTAGACATCTCCAAGAACAAGTGCTATCACTTTTAAACAGTGCCATATAACTTTGTAATATTATGAACAAGTGGAATTTTGGCTTCCTCCACTTCCAAATTTAATTTTTATTTTGCTTTTGATGTGTCAAGGACTTTCGATCCTTATTCCTCTCACTCTTGGGATTCTTCCCACCATTTTAAATATTGTTTTGTCAATTTTATGACATTAATATTCTTCAAGAGACACATATCAGGATAAAGTCTGATTTATCAAAAATGTTTCAATTCATATTATTCAAACCAAGTTCCTAATACTTTCTGAGTTTTCTATGTAATTGGTTTGAACCATCTTTGAGTGGTTCGAACCAAAATTCTAGAACAACTCAAATCGTTAGATTTATTTTCCATGACCAAGAACTATTCACTCTTACTGTGTATAGGATTCTTTAAATCCATATTTCTTTATTTTTTGGACCATTTATTCAGGCTTCCAAAAATGAATCAGGTGCAAAAAGTTGCACTAGCTTTTACAAATTATCTCATTAAGAGATAGCATCCAAACGAGGATTCAAAATCCTTCATAACTTATCAAAACCCTTCATAACTTATCAAAATTGAGAGCCTTTTCACTTGGCCTCTGTTCTCTTTGTTTCTATTTAAACTAAGATCATCAATTGGATCTCCAAATGGGTTTGCCAAATCCCATTTTAGTATTTCTTTCTTTATCATGGCAAAGTAGCCATCATAAGACCTGATTCTCACTTATTTCAATTTACATATACTGATATATAATCTTACAAGCATAAATAAGAGGCATCAAAAGTAACAAGTAGATATATGCCTTAAGCAACCTTTCATTAAAGAAACATGATCAGGTTCATTAGCCTCTTATATTTCCACAAGTCTCATGTCAAGACAAACAAAATAACAAACAAGAAGCATGTATATGTATCATATGTATAGAGCACAAATGATTTTCATTAAACTGTCATATACATAAACATGCTTATAACATAATCTTAGTAAAGGAAATCTCATTTACTCTAATAACTCTTGGGCAAACTTTCATAAGAACATGTTTGGAAGTAAGATATATTGCATCGAGGCACAATCATGCACTCAAAACATGGTCATATTCAATTTCATAAAGAGAATTGTGTCTCTTATATCTTCCTTCTCACAGCCAAGAAACATGCTATCAAGTCTGAGATTTTTTTAATCTCCAAATAGGATTTAAAGACCCATTTTGTTTCTCTTGCCTTGTTGTGCCAAATATCAGGGGATGTTTTCTCCTCATATATAATTAATTAAACATTAACAAGAGAACTATCATACATGCAAGAATAGCCCATAATATAAAAATGATGCATGTGCCAAAACTCAGAAAAATTCATGATTTAAGAAATTGTAATATCAATTTCTTACTAAAACATGCATTATTTTAACGTAAGTGGTTCGAATCCTATAAATGTGGTTCGAACCAAAATCATACTTTCAAAGTTCTATCTCTAATTCCAGAATGTATTATTTTATTCTATCATTTTACTAGTTTTCATACATGTTTTGATATTGCAGTGAATCTCGATTCATCTCCATTTCATATCCTCTTCAAACTTGAAAATTTTGATTGCTTCCTTGATGAACAGAATCATGTCTCCATTGTTTCATCTTCCATGAAAATTGATTTCCTTGCTTTATTGTCCAATGTGTAGCATCCTCCATTAAAACATCAACACTTTGGTTGTTATCGTAGTTGGAAATCAGCTAGAATCTTTTATCCTCTATATTGCTTTTACATCTAGTGATGGATTAATCCATCATCATTAATCGATCATCGATCGATCACACAATTGCTTATGATTGCTATTATATGCAATCATTGATTGACCCACCATCACTCGGCAATTATCCATCACATAATGCTAATCACATCAGAAATCCTTTTTGTTTTGCCACTGTTGCACACCAAATCTCCTTGGTGTCACAAACATTTTGTTACACAAGTTTCTTTTCAATTATCCAATAAGCCATGATCTCAAAAAACTTAAAAATTAGCCTAAAGATTGTTGAAAATTGGGGGTTGGAAAATGGATCATTGGTTTCAAGGCATGCTGCAAATGCCACTTTCCTTCAGTCTAATTTCACCTCCACCAAATCTGGTATGCAAAAGGGGTAAACCGAAATGCCCATAGGATACGATGAAGTGCATTGTTGATCTTGCCTTTGCACTAGTAAGATCAACCACTAAACTATCCTTTAGAAAGCGACAAAACAATAGTTTTTGTATAAGGATTTTTGCAACAATCACAGTACAAAAAAGGGATGTTTTATTTAGATAACAGTAGGAATTTGTTTATGTATTCAAGAGATTAAGAAGAAGAAGATATAACTCCATATTTATAGGGGCAAGATGTCTGTTGGGAACGGACGCTCCTTTTCAGTTTGTTAACTGAAAATATCTAAATTTTCATTAAATTTATCCATTGGAAACTTTTCCAAAAGTCATTTGGTTTGATTTGAATTCCAACTCACGTATTTCATTGCCTTCCAAAGTTATCCACTCGTCCTTGAGAAATTTATCAAAATTCTATTTTTTATTTCTGTGTAAATATGATTTGAACCAAAATCGTATTTTTTGAATTTTGATCTTACGTAAACAGTTCAAATCATATTTATATGATTCAAACCAAAATCATACTTTTTCAAATGCATTCTATGCAATTGCTTCGAACCAACTTTTTGTTATTCGAACCTAAATTTTGGAACTATTTTGAAAATTCTTTAATAAGTATTGAGACATTCGACTATAATTAACCACCATAAATTTCAAATTATTGTGTTTTCAAAATGTTATTATTGATATAATAATGAGATTTTCTATTTTGTGTGATTTTTTTTTCCTTGTTCGAAAGCCACGCGCAAGTTTTATTTAAAATTAAGAAATAAGAAATACATAGTTAAATATGGAACCTATCTCCTATTATAATATATACTTTATCCTATTTAATATATTTTTTCAAATATCAATGGTATCAAGTAAAAATTTCTCATTAATATTTATGAAATTCCAAACTTATCAATATCCCTTCACATTAAGTTCACATATTTAAATTACACAACAAGACAGTGCTTCAAATTACTAGCCTAACTGACGGTAGAACATAACACTGTTTCCGGATGCATATAATTCAGAGTTTGAAATGTGCAAGTGCAGAGACACCGTTGAGCCCTTTAGAGTAGTAGTGTGACACGAAGTCTTTTATAGTTGTTTCACGATAAATTGGAGGATTTTCCTCTGATGACAGCTCCTTAATTGGTCCATAGACAGCGGTACTTTCCGTTGGGAGTTGTGTTCTGAAGAAACATGCCATTGAAATTCTTGGACCTACAGCTTTTGCAAGAACTCTGTGATGAACGCTTATAAACCTATCATTGGTAATCAACTGCAAAACGAAACAAACTAAAGATGAATTAGACAAAGCAACATTATTAGGTAGACGTCATTCAAGAGTCCTATGATACAAACGACGTTGTTTTGGGCTGTTTTGAATGCTTTGACAAAAATAGATGACGTTACAAAAGTTAGACCAAATCCATAGTAGTAATAGGTAGACATAACAAACTTGCCTGAATTAAGTCAGCTAAATTTACGACAAGAGCTCCATGAATAGGGGTAACATCTATCCACTGATTTTGATAGAGGACCTGCAAGCCACCAAGTTGATCTTGTAACAGCACAGTAAAGAAGCCACTATCAGTATGGCTACTTGTGCCCAATGTGAGGTCTGGTTCAGGGCATGCTGGGTAGTAGTTGCCAAACATACAAAGACCCTTTTCACAGCCAATGTCTCTCAAGTAATTAGGGTCAAGACCAAGAGATTCTGACAGCAGTTGGAGCGGTACTTGTCCTAATTCCATTACCTTGTTTGAATACTCACTTATTATGTCCCTGCAAGGTAATCAAGAAGATAAGATATTTTTATTACAAAAGATTACACCAACTTGCAGGACTTAAACCATGGAGTGGGAATTCCTTAATATATGAGATTGTTTTTAATTGGATGGTTCTCGTTTTACAATTTAATGTAATTTAAACGGTAAACTAAGAACTCTTTTTATTAATATAAGAAATAGATGATAAAAATTTATATTAATTGTCCATGATAAAATTTCTTACAAATATGCTCAATATCTACTTGTATTGAATTTGAAATAGTCCGTGTTTAATAATCTGAATTATACCTATAAATCAAGATCCATCAGATTGAAAACTACAGGCATTTGATGGTTCATGTTGTACAGTCTGTTACTAAAATATGAATTTTCTTTGCTTACAAAGACATACTTGCAGACTGCAGGAAGTTCTTGAGGACCGGAGGAGAAGGAGCCATGATACAACACAAAGGATCCCTCCAGTTTGTCACTGGCCCCTGGCACAGATCAAAATTGCTGTAGTAGAACACTTTTCTACTGGAATAATCCCGAGAATAGATCTCTTTCTTCACTTCAGCATCTTGTTCATGAAATCTCCGAATACCATCAATCATCCC